TTACTTGTAAATATTAGCCAAGGATTAGGAACAAGTGAATGGAGGAGTGCGCGCCGGCCCTGAACGCCGCATGGACAAGAGCAATTATTCGTTAACTTTAACCAGCTGTCCTGCCAAAATTACTTGTCAGATCAAAATTTGCTAAAGGAAAAAGTTGTTCCTTTTAGCACAAAGTATCACGTCCTGTACTCCGAATGCGCCAATTTTGGGACACCCTGTATATATCACAAGTTTATAACACGTCACGGCTTGCACACGGCTAACACGGCTTTTTCGACTTTGCTGCTCGTTCGCTTTTGTTTGGTTGAACTTCAATAAGATGCGACAAAATGTATTTTGCGTCGGAAGTGCGTCACCTATAAGTAACATTTTTAACAATAGTAATGATCAATTGCTGCGACTACACACCGCGCATGAAATGGCACCTTAAAAATGTCGTTATTTTATCGATGATTTATGAGTATATGTATGCGTGCGATATTGATGTAATAGTGTGTAGTGATGTGTTCATGTTTACTATCGATATCGTACGCACACATCGTAACAAATTTTCAAGAATAATATATCTTTTTTATTAGACATCCAAGCCTAATTTTATGAACTCAACATTGTTTGCACATGTAATTCGTAATTCCGGCTGGTATCATTTTGTACCAAGAAATTGCTAAATTTTTGTACAAAGCAAATATATTGGCACATGTTAACAGCTCTAGACGCCAAATTAAATTAAGAAAAGGTAACGGAGATCTAAATTTAAAAATTTTTTTTTGTTCTCAGCATAAGCTGGAATTACATAAATAATTTTAAGCTCTTTTTATTCTTTTTTATTTTATTAAATGTACAAACTGTTGTCAGTTTACATTTACTAATTCTGTCTACAAATTTTATCCTAACTGTTAACAACATTTCTGGGGTTACACTCGCGCAAACTTTACATATTTTTTGTTTTAAGTATTCTTTTGTCGTAGGTGTTTGAAACATGACTTAAAACAAAGAATTTGAAATTTTGAAATTTCTCCCGCCCCTTGCCGTCTTCAAAGGGGGCGGTGGAGGATTTTTCTTTACGTGGTTAGAAAGGCCTATCTAATATTTAAAACTTTCATATGAAAAACTTTTTGATACAATAAATATTCTTAGAGTTATCAGCTTGTAACTTTACATAGATTCTGTACAACGCCCATACATTATATTATAAATTTTTAGGCGTTCCGATATTCACTGTCAATTTAAACCTACAGTTTACGTTTACGCACATTACAGATTTTCAGTATAAGTATATCACACAGTCTGAATATATATAGAACATAATCTATTAATGAAAGAATCATTATATTGCAAATTTAGAATTAAATTACATTATAAATTATAAGTATAATTTGAATTTAAATTTGTATTTGTGGTTTTTTAAATTATACAAAAACGCTAAATGATCATAAATGGTGCCTGTCCATTTATAATTGCATCTGTCACTTTCTCGTTCTTCAAGATCGTATGAGTACTCTCGATGTAAAATATGTACTTTCACCACATTTTCAGTTATCTTAAATAATTACATATTTTATTAACAAACTGTTAAAATGTATTGTAAATTTTATTTATCAAATATGTAAATAGATTAGCGCAATTTCGTTGAAATACCTTCTGCAAACCATAATCCTTCTTAATCATGGATCGCTATATATATAAAGCGTAAGTTTGTAGATTTAAGCAATATTATAGGAAATTTAATAGGCAGCGTAAAAGGATTATATTGATGAACAACGGATAAGTGTTTATAAATAGTGTTGTACACAGCGTCTTTAATTATTGCATTAAATTTGCGGGTTAAAGTAACGTGTTTACGGTCAAAAACTGATTGGCAAAAGTATTAGATCTCTCTTCCCAGGTATTGCATTCCTTCAGGTTCATTAGAATCTATACCAAATTATTTTCTATTTATATGGATAAGTTTTACTTCACAATAAGAAACGTTTAAAATACAAGATTATAAAAACAAAACAAGAAGTTGATATTTTATTAATAACTTCATATAAAAATGATGTCCCGATATAAATGACCACTTCTTTTTATGGCAAATATTATAGGTGATTTCGATAACCTTGATCTTGATATATACATATCGTCTGCAATGTCATAATCCTGAGTGATCTTTAGAAGGTTTTAGCTGTTGCTCATGGTTTGTTAAAATGTTATTAATCAAAAAGTTGCACATATTTTATTTAATATTAACATGATATATTTCTCTCATTATTTTAAAAAATGTTCCAATACAATGGAACCGTATAATCATAGATCTCGTTTTTTCCCGTAATTAGTAGCTAGGGGTGGGTGTGAGGTAACTCTCGTTTCGTTTGGAAAATCGGAAACTCATGTGGCAGAGTACAATTATATAACTTATTTTATCTCGTAAGTAGGCGTGGATGCAGGATGAATCTTACTTCGTGTATTAAATCAAAAACTCATGTGAAACAGTATATAATTATACGACTTTTCATGCAAAGCAAAATTCACCTCACACCCACCTCTACTTACGGGATAAAACGACGGGACTTCACGTGAAGCAAAATTCCATATAGGTTTAATACTTTATAAATGTTATAAAGCATTATAAATTGTATGCTTGAACGCAGTTCCATCGCCCTCCCCTTATGAAAGGCTGCACCACCGAAAAAATGAACAAATAGGTTTAGATTGGAATATTACTTGATGTGGAAATGTCCGTTAATAATGCAAATAATTATCGACATTTCATTTTAAGCCATATAATTTCACATCATGTTCTTAAATTTATCAAGATTGTGGGATAAAAAGAAATGGCCACATACGCTTAAACATCCTGTGTAGAACAAAAATTATTGATCAATTTGAAAATATTAACAAACATACCATAAATGTATCTCAAAATAATTCTGATAAATTTAAAAAAAATATACCTCTTCACTACTTCTGGTCAAACAAATATCCATAATAGTAAAAACATCAATTTGAAGATTTGCATCAACAGAACCTAATATAAAATGTTTATAAATCATTCAAATTTGTTCAAAAGCGCCGTCGATGAGAACTAGTCGGCTTCTAAAATTCATAGCTTTTAACATTCTTGTTAATTCAACTACGATAATAGATCCTAAGGAGTATCTGACCATAACAGAATCTTTTTCATCTTTGAATTTTGATAATATATATTGTAAAAATATTAAAAGTATTTAATATTTTTACTAAAAAATATTAAAAGTATTTAATATTTTTACTACGGTACTACGGTAAACTTTATGACCATTAAAAATAAAAATATATAAACAATTATTTGTCAACTTAATATATGGAATTACTAATGCCATTGCATATGTTTGCGAGAGATCAAACCAGATTTGTGAAATAAAATCTTCATCATTTTCTGCACCAAATAAATATCTTAAAACATCTGGCTCCTCTGAGGCGACTTTCTGTTATGCGTATTATTGTCACTAACGTTTCATCAGACATTTTCATGAGTTTCGCGAAAGAAAGATTTCGTATTTCCGCATCAAATTTTTTCACATTGATAATTATTTCCATGCTACTTGGAATTTTCGGATAGTCTAATGAAAGATGAGCAAGACATTTAATATTTTTATGTGAATAGATATATTTGCATAAAGTTGATATGTCTTTATTTTTTTACGTGAAAAAGTAGAGCGGAATAAGCAGGTAAAATCTGTTCTCCGCATCAATCGAGCTCAAATTAGTGTCATTTATAGATGACACTCCTGAGATATAAATCTTCCCCAAAGATTAGCCTTGAAATTGTATTTTTTGGGGAGTTATAAAGAGAGAAAGTAAAATAAAAAAGGGGTTTTTCTCGAAAACGGCTGGACCAATTTTAATGAAAAAAATATATGTTGCAAACATCCTTTAGGAGGTTTCTTTAGGAGGATCCTAAGTTTAAAAAATTTTTTTTTAATTTTTATGATAAAAAAACCAACAAAAAAGATTTTTAAATCCTTTATGAATATTTTTAATGATAATTTTGAATGACCACTTCTACATTTTCACGAAAACATCTTTAGATTCTCTACTTTAACATTACATTTTATTGAAATCGTTCAGAGTGGTTAAAAATAACCATGCCGTATTCGGCGCGCCACCGCAGCGGCGCATGACGGTCATTGCTATGGAACTTGCATACTAGTTTTATTGCAGTGTTGCAATGTTTAATTGCCAAGAAAATTTATAGAAATAATAAGGAATTTATTATTGCCTACACACATTTATTTAGCGAGTATTGCGGTATAGTAATATCTAATTAACACTATAAAATGCATGGTATCAGTACAATCAGTACAATACTATCTTTTTCAAAAAGATAATAATGCTAAGAGTACACATTCCTGAGAAGAAACTAGTGTATCAAATTAAAAAATAAAATTCAAGTGATACTATCTTCTACTTCTATTTTGATTCAATAAAATGTGACATGTAAAAAAATAGTATATCATTTATTTAAAATTTATTTTAAATAAATAATCAATATAAAATAATAAATATACAGAAACTACCAAAAGTTCGGGGCCACCTAAATAATTTCTGAACACTTCGAGATATTGGATTGAAATTTATAGGGTTACAATGGTAAAATGCTGTAATGCTCATTTGATTTTGGTATTATTTAGCGCTAGCGATCAGGGCGATAACATGAAGAAGGTAAGGAAGGTTCGCGCACGTTCCTTACACACATATACGTTTTTCCATCCACTCAGGAACATGCGCGAAGTTTTATCTTCCTCGCATCTTCGCCGTGGGTTCTCGCTAGCGCTAAGTAACACCAAAATCAAATGAGCATCACTCTGCTAAAAAAAATTGTAGAGATCATTGAGGTCTCTAAAAACGACCTCGCGTTCTTCTTGTCTCGAAAAGCTCTTTCAAGCAAGCCTTCATTTAATCCCACAAGTTATTTAAGATTTTCAACCCCCACCCTCCCCCCTCCCAGAGAGTTGAAGTGGGTATTTTCAAGGTTAAATGATATAATACATCGTAACTCTATCAATTTCAATCTAATATTTCGAACCGTCCAGTAATTATTTAAGTGGCTCCGAACTTTTGGCAGTCTCTGTAGATTATTTTTACAATAAATTGTACAATGTATAATAAATGGAAAAAAATATTAAAAACATTTGAAAAATATTTCTGCTGATTAGGTAAAAGTTTATAAAAAAACATTATTTGTGTCCTTCATTTTATCTTGTTTTATTAGTTTAAATATTAAGTACCCAGATCGGAAGAGCACACGTCTGAAC